CGTGGTGGTACAGTGCTTCTGTTTATTTCTTTGTCACCGTTTGCCTCGCGGGTGTGCGAGTTTGCAAAGGCCAGAGCGACGGGGACGGCCAGGGCTCCGACAGCCGCGAGGAGGAGAGACGTGTGGACAGAGGAAGTTTCGGCGAGCGTGCGACGGGCGTGCGGCCGAGCGTGGGCGGGGGGCGACTCGCCGGTGAGCGTGCGGCTTGGACAGGACGAGGGTCTTATCTGTCCGCGTCACGTCACGCCCCACGGCCGTGCGTCACGACTACAGTGTAGACGCTGCGGCGCGCTGCGGGCACCGAGAGGTGAGCGACAGAACAAGAGCACGCGAGCAAAGGCAAAACAAGCAACACGATTTTTCAGAAAAAGTGACCATTTTGATACCTCGAAATCTAAATAATCCCAAGCCCGGCCCATTTAAAAAAACAAAAATTGGAAAATTTGAAAAATTGCTCTCTTTTTTTTTTTCGTACGGAATTTTCCTGGTGCAGCAGTGTGTGTACTTGCAGCGCAGCGCGACGCACTGGTGCGAGCGCGGGGACGGTCGTCGTCGTATTGTTTGTGGACTTTGACAGGTGCGGCCGGCGCTCTGCGTCACGCCACGCCACGCCACGCCACGCCACGCCACGCCACGCCACGCCACGCCACGCCACGCCACGCCACGCCACGCCCGGCTTTGCGTCCCTAAGACACATGCAATCAGGCGGGCGTGATAACGACGGACGGGTCGAAGCGGAGATAAGCCTCAACAAGACCGCGGGCGGGGCGGGGCGGGGCGGGGCGGGGGGCGGGGCGGGGCGGGGCGGGGCGGGGCGGGGCGTTTGTTCGGGCGCGTGTTCGCGTGGGGCGCGGCGGGCCCGGCGTCGGTTATTACACCGAACACGCCGCCGCCTATCTGGACGCCGCCTTTTGCATACGCGGCGCGCGGTTCGTCCGTTTGGACGCCGCGGCCTGCCGGACAAGCTGCCGGACGTGACCGCACGCCCGCGGCCAGCACGCGCCGTCTCCCTCGCACCCCTACGGCGCCCCACCCCGCCCCTCGAGTGCGAGAGAGACGGAGCACTCTCGGAATCGGTCTAGACTGACCAGACCAGGCCAGAACGCACGCAGGACGGGCCGGCCCGCACGACGATGAGAAGATGGCCCGATATGAGAAACCGCGCGGTCGGATTGATAAGAGGCCTGGCTCTGCGTGGCGCGGCTCGCGCGGCTATCGCCCGCCGCCCCGCCGCGCCGCGTTTCGAAACCACCGCCTCTTTGTCCGCCACCCAAAATGTGGAAATTCGTTCCGGCGGGGAAAGCGCGGAAATTCGCGACGGAAAATGACGCCGGCGTGAGGGCCTGACGGATGTTCCGGTGGGTTATGCGAAAATGGCGGCCGTTACGGCATGCGAGGAAGCGCGGTGGCGAAAAGTGAGTGACCGAAGAGTGGGCAGGCACCGGGCAGGCACCGGGCAGGCACCGGGCAGGCCATGCAGCCAGCCGAAGCCAGCCGGGCACGCCGCACTGATGGCCCCTGTATGGCGGCGCGGCGGTGACACAACCGCGGAAGCCGGCGACGTGACCAGCCCTTCCTCGGACGCGCCACGCCACGCCACGCCACGCGTGCCGCGCATCACGCACGGGCCGCGCCCCGCGCCCCGGCACTGCCAAAAAGACCTGGCCGCCGCTGTTCGCAGTCCGTGACGATAGGGACTGCACAGTCCGACTTCGACCTTTCGCCCGGTGGCGGCCTGCCGGCCTGGCGGCGGGGCCGGCGGCTAGCCTCCATGCAGCCAACCGGTCCGAACCGCACCAAACCGAATCGCCGTCGCGGTCCTCGCGGTCCTCGCGGTCCTCCCGGTCCTCGCGGCGGCCCTCTAACGCGACGGCCGGCCCACGGCCCGCGGCCACCCGGCGCTCCATCACCTTGGCTCTAACCAGGCACCGCGCCGCCGCCGGGCCTCGCCGTCGCGTCCGGGACCGGCGGCCCTCCGCGCGGACGTGCTCAAGTACTCGCTCCAGCACAGGGACCGTTTCGCCGCTCTGTCTCTCTCGCACCTGTACGGGACGCCGCGCGAGTGCGAGAGAGACAGAGCGACGAGGATGGAGTCTGCCTCCCGGACAGCCAGCCCTGCAGGCAGCCTGGCTGGGTAGGCAGCCACCGCGCCAGGCGCGTCCACCGGGGTGCCTACCCTGCTCTTCGCAGGCGCTCCTTGCTCCACCACACTGCGCTGGCCTCCAGGCTGGCCCTTCGGAGCCCAGATTGGGGCACTGCTGTCTGAAAAGGCATTCTTTTTCGGGTTTCACCCGTTTGTGTGCGAGCTTCGCGCTTCGAGCTTCGCACCGCCTTGTGTGTGACACTGAACCGGCGCTTCGAGCTTCGCGCTTCGAGCTTCGCGCTTCGAACTTCGCACCGCCTTGTGTGTGACACTGAACCGGCGCTTCGAGCTTCGCGCTTCGAACTTCGCACCGCCTTGTGTGCGACACTGAACCGGCGCTTCGAGCTTCGCGCTTCGAACTTCGCACCGCCTTGTGTGTGACACTGAACCGGCGCTTCGAGCTTCGCAGTGCTCGGCGGTGCTTCGCGCGGCACACGGACGGAATCACGAAAAGAAGAGAAAGCAGGCGAACTGAAGCCAACCACTCGGTGCGGCAAGGCAGGCAAGGCAGGCAAGGCAGGCAAGGCAAGGCGAGTTTCACCGTACACAGCGCTACCGCCGCCACGCCGCGGCGCAGCCTGGCGCAGCCAACCCAAGGGAAGGCTGGCTGGCTGGGGCCGAGCCGAGCCGCCGAGCCGAGCGCAGCGGGGCCGAGCGCAGCCGAGCCGGCCAGAGCCGAGCCGCGCCGCGCTCATGAGAGTGGGGGCCGTCATGGGCCGGGGACCGCGACTAAGCGACGCCCCGCCATTTGCATACTTTGTGACAAAGTCGAGCAAGTCACAGTGTAGTCGACGCGCCGCCGCCGCGACGCCGTGGCACTGCCGGCGCCCCGGACTTGATTGCGTGCAGTTTTCAGGCGGCCGTTCCCACATCGAGCGCGGCAATGGCTTTCGAGCGACTCGCTGCACACACTGTCGACGCCTGGCTGCCTGCCGGACTGCCTGCCGGCCTGCTCGAAATGACGCCGATTCGACGCGTAAAGCCAGTAAAACCTATCGATTCGCGTCGCACAGTGGACGGCCGTGCCATAGGCCTGCCATAGGCCGTGCCATAAGCCTGCCATAGGCCGCTCGCGCCTCGGAAAGTGCCGTCCAAACAGCGGCGTCGACTGAAAATGCTTCACGCTCCGCACGAAAACACGACCAAATTCCCCCGCGAGTTTTATTTTCGTCCTGTGACAGTGTGGGCCCCCGTCCGCGCTGCGGGACGGCCCCCGCGACGGCCCCGGGGCCGCTGCTGCTTGCTGCCGCTCGCCTCGTCTCGCCCCCGCCGCTGCAACCTCGCCTTGTGCAACGCCTGCTCAGCCTGGCAGCAACCTGGTCCCAGTAGCGGAGCCACAAGGCCCCCAGACACACAAAAAAAGAGAGAAAGAAAAAAAAGAAACAGCGAGGATTCGAATCCGCGCCGCAGTCGTCGCGCAGCGCGAAGCGTCGGAGAGGCTTCTCGGCGCGGTTGCGATATTTCGCCGCTAGACGCCTACTTAGCTCTAATTACTCCGTGATTTATTTTTTTCGGGGGTAATTCTTTTGTATCGGACAATCGTGCCATTGTGTGAACGCCTCGAAATGCAGTTCTTGCCTATTTACATAACATTGTTATGCGTTCCGCGATCCCCCGCCAGGCGGCGCCACCGTCGAGTACTACTCGTCGTGCTGGAGGCTCGGCTGTAGGCTTGGCTGCAGGCTTGGCTGGAGGCCACCCTGTGTTGCCAATGGTTGCCAACACAATCCAGGTCGAAAGGCTGCTCGAAATAATGGAGAGAAAAAGGGTAAACGAGATTTTTTCAGGACGAAGTAGCCCCTAGCAGAGGTTTTTCTCTGGGATATGGATTTATCCTTTGTGTCCAGTGTGCCTAAAAAAACGGTAATGCACATGAACCCCGTTGGAACGGACGGCACGTGGCAACGATGTTTCTTCCCTCTCCCAATTTATTTCCGTCCACTCTGCGTGTTTCAACAAAGCCTGCGTTCTACGGGTGAATTAGCCTACATCCATTTTCTTTTAAAAGTTAGAAAATTTCTCGATTTAAGTCTAAAAAGCATGGGAAGATAATTTTGAAGCTTTATGCTTTAAAGCAATACTGAGGTGAAGTACTTGTCGAACAATCTAACACGAAATTGAACTTGAAAGTGTTTTGTTTACCTCAAATACTCTGTTAATGGGTGGGAAATGGTACAACACGCTCCGAAGGCCCCTGGAATCCTGGTCATCATGTTGGCCTATCTTTTGGGCCACAAGGTCTTCTTTCTTCTTTCTTCCACACTTTTGGCCGTCATCAGCCCACTTTTAACGGCCTGCGGCCCACATTTATTTCAATTTAGGTAACTGAATTTTAGCTTGATTTTTTTTTGTTTGATTGGCACTTGCAGTGACTGCTCTGCACCGGTATATCCATGGGCCCAGTTACAGAGAATCACTGCATTTCACACTTTGAATTGAAACACATTGGTTATGCTTTTAGATTTTTTTTTCACTTAGAAAGTTGCATCCGCTCCAGTAATCCAGGGCTGTCTGGAGCAGAGACTTTCAAAGTGACACTGAAGTTGCTTTGATGCATCGTGGCCAGTTTAATCCACGGGTCTGGCGGCACGATTCAAAGCGATTTTAGTGGCACTGTATTCCGTGTAGATGTTGCTCACGGAACGTTTTGTAAGGGTCTCACTGGGCACTGGGTTGAATTTGTGTAAATCCCAGCACAAATTCCTTCTGATTTTGACCTGCTGAAAGAAATGCTTGATTGTTATGAGATTAACTACTGTATACTATTTTTAAAAAAATCATTTTCTCTTGTAGTATTGTTTGATTAATCTTATTTATGCCTCTCTTTTACCAGACATTGGAAAATCAAGAGACATGATGCTATTTTCTGCAAATTATGCTTTATTTTGTCTGTACAAAACATCAGCTTTCACAAAAAATATCCATGGACGAACTTTGAGGAAATTAACAAATGAAGGACAGATAATATTTACAAGCATTACAAGTAATATACAAAGTTTGACTGCATCTTCAACTAGAAATTTACAATAAAATCCTTCAAATCTTAATCTCTGATTTTTTTGTCGTTTTCAATTTTTTAAATTTAGTATATAATTGAAAATCACTGGAAGCAAACTTACACGAATGAACATAGGCATGAATGAAACTATAATTATGTAGTTACCTACTTCCAGTGGACTTATATTAAATACTGCAATCAAAACATCACAGACTGCTGTCGCCAGCTTTGTACCATTTACCTGAAGAGTTTTAATATAAACCTACTGCAGTCTCTATCTCGATAGAATAATGTTTTTAATGCCATGCTAAGGAATTCGATCGTGTATGGCAGGTAGGCAGGCAGGCAGTCAGGTCAGGTCACCATGCACACATCCCCGTTTTTTGTCCATCTTCGCCTGATAAATTATATAAGTACAGTACACACCCTATGCTGCCTCGTACATCCTTACCCTGGTCTGCTACATCACAATTTTCGAAAGAATCTTTACAATCTATACAATTTTTGGTCTGCACCTACCCTGACTCCGCCCTACGCCACATAAACTGTACAATTCTGGGTGGGATCAGATTACTATGACGGAACCTCGACTCGCTTTTGACTGGTCAGCGATTGATCACATTAAGAGAAACGGCCCGTCACTCGCCGCCGCGCAGACAGAAAAGGTAGTCTGCACTGGAGGCGAGCTTCGAGCCAGAAACACGTTCGGCCCAACGTCGAGGAGGCTTCAAGTAAGGTAGGCGCAGATAGCCCTTCGTCTTCTATCACAATGTTATGGTTACATTACGGTGGTTATGGCGCAACTTTCTGACGAAGAAAGGACGCCGTTCTTCGCACAGACCAGGTGTCGTTTTTGTCCACCCATTCCTAATCAACCAAAAATCACAAGTTTGCTAACACAAGAGACTCATAAAATTGCACTACCGTGACACTCCAGAGAGATTTTTCGCCAATGGATATAGAATACACAACGATTTAACGATTGAAAACCACTCACTAGAGAAAAGTCATACCACTATGAATAAATATAGGGGGCAATCTTTCACATGCAAGTTGGATGTTGATCAAATAAATGTATTTATAACTACCGTCATAGATTGATCTGAATCAATTAAATAATTTCTGTACAAATTGACATTTGGTATTCTTTCAGGCGTTTTGAACACAGTCAACACAAACTCATTTCATATAGATTTCATTTCAATTTAGCTTCGAATAGAGATATAAGATAAAGCTTTCTGTGATTTCATTTTTCATAAATAATAATTTCCAATTTCTGTACAGGTTTTGACAAGATGAGTACTTCATGCAAGAGATTAAACTCTCTATAGAGTAGTTGTATACAACTTAACACAGTCAAAAGCACATAGTGCAAAGAAACGAGAGTTCAACTTTACATTCAGTACCTGCAAAATACCGGCGGTATGCTTTCTCCCCTACGCTAGTTTTTCTTAACTGTATCAATAACTGATCAGGAAACAATGCAGCGAAAACATTATCAGATACGTACGAGCATACATAGCCTATTCACATTAACACACGGAATAAATAAATAAGTTTTTGGAGACGAGATCGATAACTGCCACTACATTGCTACACAGATTCAATACAAATACGCGCTTGCAAAGCGATTTAGAACTCTGACCAGCTCTGCCAGGCAGACACGACCACCCGCGTGCGTGAACAATCAGCGCGAGAACATTCATCCCGATGACGTCATTTGGGCGACAAATCGCCAGAATGACGTCACATCGTTCGTAACGGTCCCCCGCTGGGCGCGTTCGGAGCGGCGGGGCGGTGCCCTGTCTCTCTCCCACCCACTGGAGGCCAATGGGAGCGACAGAGACAGAACAAAGCCCGGCGGCAGGTTTGAACACAAGGCTGATCGTTCACGCACAGCTTTCGAAAAAGGAACGCCTACAGGGGGCGGGCGATCGTGCGACTCGAAAGTAGCGATGTTAAGCACGTCAGATGCGCTTCGGCGCGATGAATCCCGATCAATTACTTGAACAATGAACACGGTACGTTTTACTTTTGTACTTGATGGGACGATTTTACCTCAGCAGGCAGGCGGCAACGGAAGGTCGCAGACAATCTTTTCAGAGATAGATGTCGAACTGCAGCTCGGATAGCAGCTTGAGACGCAAAGATGTCAGAACCAAAACACACCAAGTCGCACCAAAACAAAGAATTTAGAATGAAACGGCAAATTAATTTTGAAAAAACATCTACTACTACACATATAAGGGGAAATGCTAGGTACGCATGTATAAATTTGCTTCATTTGATGTGTGATTCTAAATCATACACATTTAAAATTATTATCACCATATAACTGAGACAGTTAAGTTAATTATTACAAAGTTCCAAATACATCTCTCGAAGGTGTTAAATACCTTTTAGGGCCGGTCCATGCCTTGATTCTCTCTCCGCCGCCAATTTAGCTCCGAAATCACTGTCCCGCAAAACAAAACCAACTCCACAGAACAAAAACAAAAAAAAACTTCCAGCGAGAGACAAAAACAAAACAAACTTTGTTGTGCTATGGCCATTCAATAAAATGTTCCACATCAATGGGAATGAGTTAAATGAGATCACAGGGCGCGGGACGCAGCGGGACGCGGGGGGAGGCGGCGTTCAGCTGGACGCGTACGTGCTGAGGTCGTACTTCTGCTGCACGGACGTGTGCTGCATGTGGAGGGCCTTGTTGCCGACCCTCTCCATCAGCAGCTCGGGCTCGGTGGGCAGCCCGGGCACCGTGATGATGGCCGTGGGCTCCGAGCACCGCGGGTCTTCGTACAGCACACAGATGGAGCCGTTCTCGCCGATGCGGTAGGACACCTCGGCGGGGTCGATCCACATGGTGAGTTCCGACGGGAACAGGCGGTGCAGGTAGGGCCCGGGGAGGCCGATGGCGTCGCCGGCCTCGGCGATGACGGGGTCCATGCTTCCGTTGATCCGCAGGCAGCGGTAGGCCGAGCCGCGGTGGGGTCGGTCGGGGAACCAGTGGTAGCGGTAGCGGTGGGACAGGAGGTCGCTCAAGGAGCCCTTGAACATCTCCAGCTGCGACTCGCTCAGCCCGTTGTGGTGCAGCCGGAGCAACTGCACCAGGAAGTTGACCGCGGAATGGATTTCGAGCCTCATGTTGTCGCTTCACTCACTTGCACAAGCACATTCACAAAGGAAGACACGCACGCTACGCTCGGCTCGGCTCGGCGGGGGCGTTTCTTGTTTGTCGGGACTAGAGACTATCACACTGTTTCAACTTCACCCCTCTTCTCTCTTCTCTCTCCCGCCCCTGTCCTGGTCGCGGCGCGACGCTTAACACACACACACGCACACACGGGACACACGTCCGCACGCTCCGAGCTCCTAGGTCTGTCTGCTGGACGCTGCTCTCCGCTCCGCTTCGGCTCGGCACCCGAACAGCTCCAAAGATGGCTGCGGCCCGGCAGCCAATCGCGGCGCGGCCCGCTCCCCCACCACCGGTCGCGCGGCCCGCGGTGCGCTGAGGCAGTGTAGCGGACGGTGTTTGCGTGCCGAGTCTCCCTCGCGGCGGCCTGCCGTAGCCTGCCGTGCGCGGCGACCCCGTAGCGTAGCGTGTAGCGTAGCGCTGCGCACGCCGAAAAAACCAAACACACGCCAATTAGCAATCGCCGTCAACGCGAGGAGCCTCCCTGCCGATGCAAGGCCTTTCAAACCCTCTGGCCGCGGCGCCTGAAAGCCACTGTAAGCGCCCCGGTGCCCGGTCGCGGCCCGAAGCCGCCTCCAAGGGCCGTGGGACGTCTTTCAGCGGTCCAGGAGCGGCTGTGACGCCTCCAGGGGCTCCAGGGGCTCCAGGGGCTCCAGGGGCTCCAGGGGCGCAAGTGAAGCCTGCTCGGTTCGGAGTCCCGTCTGCACAGCCTGCTGCCTCCAGGCTGGCTCCAGGCTGGCTCCAGGCTGGCTCCAGGCTGCCTCCAGGCTGGCTCCAGGCTGGCTCCAGGCTGGCTCCAGGCTGGCTCCAGGCTGGCTCCAGCTCCGCCCGTTCGAGGCTTCCCTTTGTCCGTCCCCCGGCCGGCTGGCCCGCACAGCACTAGAGGCCGCCCCGGCTCGGCTCGGCACGGCCGGCCGCTCCGGCTGCGGTGCCGCTCGGCTCGAGCACGGCCCACCCCCGCGCGGCGTGGCGAGGCGAGGGGTGGACGCACTTCCCACGCACACTCCCCTTCCCTTCCGCTCCATCATCCCGTCCACTTTGGACGCGACGACGACGCGCTCGGACTGACGTCACCGTGGCGGCGGCTGCACTCGCGGTGCGTTTCGGACGAAATAAAAGGACACGGTTCCTGGTGTATTCGAACCAAGGCTAACCGGGCCCGGAAGCAGACGCCTCTGCCGCTGCGCTGCCGCGCGGCTCTGCGCTATGCGGGCGGTGTGTGCGTGCGGATGCGGCGCACAGTGGGCCAGAAGACCGGTGGAGGCGACCAAAACTCTAGACGCGTTTTGAGCTCCAGAGTCGCTAAACAGGACTCGAACCGAACGTGTGACCCCACCAATGGATTGCTCTCCGAACGAGGAACCCATTGGTGGGGTCACACGTTCGTTTCGAGTCCCATTTAGCGACTCTGGAGCTCAAAACGCGTCTTGAGTTTTGGCCGCCTCCGCCGGTCTGCTGGCCCACTGTGCGGCGAGGCGGCGCTGGGCGGCGCGTCAAACGCGAAAAACAGAGTGAGGATGCGTGCCAGCCGGCCACGCACGCGGCGCGGCACGCGGCGCAGAACACGAGCCGCGAGTCACGTATGCCAGGAGCGGCAGCCAGGCCAGCGCCCCGACTGATTCCCAGAGTCGCTCTGTCTCGCTCGCACCCACGCGGCGCGCCCCACGAGTACGACAGAGACGGAGTGACCGTCGGCGAAAACCAACAGATTGCATCTGGCTGCATCCACAAACGGCTTTATTCAACGCCGCGCCGCATATCGGAACGGCCGCAGCGCCGCAGCCCACTTCCCGGCAGCGCTGTGAATAAGCGTGGCGAGCGGGTTGCCTACCCCGACGGGGCGCGGCCCTGAATTTAGAGCCGGTCCAGATTTACGTTGTCGTGGGGAATTTTCCAATAGTGGCTGGGCTCGCCCCGCTCGCCCAGACAGAATGGTGTTGTTTACCACTACCTTGCGCCCACCTGAGCCTCGAGCCAGGCGGCCAGGCAGGCAGGCAGCCAGCCGCAGGACGGCCGGGAGGACGCGGCGGAGGAGGAGAGGTTGTCGACAGCACAGCGCCGCCAGCTCCACTGCCTCAGCGCACAGTCCTCCCACTCCCGGCCGCTGCGGCTCGGCTCGGCTCGGCTCCGCGGCGGCCTCGGCGTGGCCTCGGCTCGGCTCGCTCGGGGCGGCCGCTCCGCTCGAGCCGTCGCCGCGCTGCAGCGCTCCGCCAGGGCCCAAACTGCAGGGCCCGGGTTCGAAACGCCGGCCGAGACAAAGGCGTTGCAGGCGTTGCAGGCGTTGCAGTGCAGGGCCGCAGGTGGCAGCGGCACCGCGAGGTTGCCGTCGCGGCGCCGTCCCCGCGACGCCTGGAGAAGTCGCTCAGTCCCTTGCAGGTTCCAGGCCGCCTGGCGCTATGTTCGTCGTTCCAGCCCCAGCCTCGCGATGCGTCATTAAAGCTGGCGAAACTATCGTCGGAATCTTCGCGGACAGCTCGGTTTGGACAATGGGCGGAGAACAAAGGCAGGGGTGGCGAAGGGTTGAGGACGGACGGACTGGACGGACGGACTGGCGGACAGCGCTGTCCACGCGAAGGGGTCCCACGGCCCTGCCAATAAGCAAATCCGATAATGCAGTGTGGTAATTGGGCCAGATTGCTCCGGAGAGCACTTCGTGGCACTCGGTGCTCTTCTCGGCGATGGAGGTCAGAGGTGGCGCGGCCTGCCCCGCTCTGCCGGACTGGTCTCGGGGCGTTGGCGGTTGGCGACCACGACGGCCGCGCGGCCGCGTTACGCCGTTACGGTGTGAGGGAAAGCAGGCGAAGATCACGGTGCGGCTACGCTGCAAGAGACACGCCAACGAGCTATGAAAAATTGCGCGCCGCGCAGACTGCAGCGCGTCGATAAGCCGGCCGGCGAGACGGCCAGACATAGCCAGCCTGACGGACAGTGTGCCAGAAGACCGCTGGAGGCGGCCAAAACTCTAGACGCGTTTTGAGGTCCAGAGTCACTAAACTGGACTCGAATCGAACGTGTGACCCCACCAATGGATTCCTCGTTCGGAGAGCAATCCGTTGGTGGGGTCACACGTTTGATTCGAGGCCCAGTTAGCGACTCGAGGAGCTCAAAACGCGTCTAGAGTTTTGGCCGCCTCCACCGGTCTTCTGGCACACTGTGTGACGGACAGTTTCGCGGCCGCGGACGGCACGAAAGCGGATTTGACTGCGAGAACCCTCCGTGGTCCGCGGACCAGGCAGTCAAAGGCGCCAGACTTTCCCGGCTTGGGGGGGACCCGGGACTCCGGCAGGGCCCTGGCAGGGCGATGCCGAACAGGATTTCGTGCTCCGCCCCGCTCTGTCTCTCTCGCGCCCCGGTGCAGCGCCGCGTGCGTGCGAGAGAGACAGCGCGACGAAGCTTTACGGAACCAGCCGGCAGACGGGCGGAGAGGGCGCCTGTGGGACGCGAGGCTCTACACGAGGGGCAGACTCATTAGTGAAGGGGACGGGGTTTCCCGACGCGCGCCGTGGCACGCTCAGACTGCACCGCTGCGCCGCCTGCGCCCCGACGACAGCAAGTAGTGCACCATGGCGCTAATCCCACGACACTGGATGCACTTGACTTGCCCAAGAAGAGCGTCCCGGCCCGCCGGCCCCGCCGCCCCCTCGGCCCTCGGCCCCAGACGCCTACTTCGCACTGCCCGTTACACTTCCCATCGGCGACCTCGTGACCAGGCCTCTCCTCCGTCTAGTGCCTGTGCCAGGCTGCGCTGCTCTCACTGCTCGCTGTCTCCGTCGCACTCACGTGGCGTCCCGTTGGGGTGCGAGAGAGACAGAGCGCGTGGTCTCCATATCGCCCATCCGCGCCTTTCTGTTTTGCCTGCTTTTGGGCCTCTTGACGGGCGTGGCGAACATCGGGGCGACCGGAACCAGAACACTGCGCAAAAACCGCGACAATGGCGGGGCGGGGCGGGGCGGGGCGGGGACTGACCGCTAATGCTCGTCGCCGTCAGGCCGTCACCTGTGGCGTTGTGGCCGGCGGCTGCCGGTGGCACAACCACAACCCTGGACACAGCCAGAAGCGGAAACGTGACCGCAACGCTTCGCCAGAATTTCGCTTCAAAGTTTGGCGGTCGCGTTTCAAATTCGTCGAAATCGGAGCCGATCGGACGCTTGCTGCCGTTTCTGCGCTCTGCGTCTTTCCGGCCGGACTGCAGTGCTGGCAGTGCAGTGGCGCGGCGTTTAGGGTGTGCATCCAAGGGCCCGTGGCGCTAGCGGCCCGCGGCCTAGGGGCCCACGGCCTGCAGGCCCCAGCGGCGCGACCACACACCACACCCACCGCAAACGTGTTTTGATGGAGCAAGACGGGCCAGGGACCGTCCCGAAAGCAGCGCGGCGGTGGGGAGGCCCGCGTTCCGAGTCGAGTTTACAGTGCAGGATCGGAAACGCGGGAATTTTTCCAAATTCGCCCCGCCGTGCTGCCGGCCAACTCTTCCGTGGCGAATCCGGGGAACTCCGGCGGCGCGGTCCTTCCGGGGCTAATCCAAGCGGGCGGGGCGTTCCACAGGGGCGTTCCACAGGGGCGTTCCACAGGGGCGTTCCACAGGGGCGTTCCACAGGGGCGTTCCACAGGGGCGTTCCACAGGGGCGTTCCACAGGGGCGTTCCACAGGGGCGTTCCACAGGGGCGTTCCACAGGGGCGTTCCACAGGGGCGTTCCATCGTTCCGGCTCCAGCGCTCTTCCAGCGCCGCGGTGGCCGCCCTGGCCGCCGGGGTGACAACTGACTTGCATTCCAGTTTATGTGCGTCATATCGTTTTTATGCCCCCCAGGGCTTTAGTGCGAACGCCCATAAGGCTGGGAGCCATTATCCCAGGTGTGTGTGTGTGTGTGTGTGTGTGTGTGTGTGTGTGTGTGTGTGTGTGTGTGTGTGCAAGGCGTTGCCGGACGGCCCCGCGGGCGATGCGTCCAGTTCCGTTCCGATGCGACGGAAAAGAAAGAAAAGCCCCATCCTCCGTCTCTCTCGCACTCGCCGGGGCGGCCCGCCGGTGTGCGAGAGAGACGGAGCGATGCCGGGCCGTCACAGACTGCGCCACTGCGAACCGCGACACTGCACAGTGCGTGACTGCTTCAGAAATAGCCAGCCAGCCGGCCGGCCGGCCACGCTGCGCCGCGGCCTGCAACGGCAATGGCGTAGATTACTCGATTACCCACGACTGGGCTTGTTGCTTGTAGCTTG